TTTACTAATTTCTTTCTTTTAATATTGTCTATCGTTGCCCCCCCCTGCCCCCCCTGGCCAAAATTTGGGGGGGGGCATTGCCCCCCCTGCCCTCCCCGGTGTCGACGCCCCTGACGACTGCTGCCCTTCACTTTGTTAAGAATAGATTCCTCGAAGAATCTAGTTGTAAGCGGGAAAGATGTAGAGGGTGGCGGGGAACATGGCGAGGTCGAGGAGACGTCTCGAAGCCAAAATAAAAGAGAGGGGAGGGCAGAAGCAAGGGATAGTAGGTCCCCTCTTAATAATTTAGTGGGCTGACAGTAAGACAACCCGCCACCCCCTCCTCCCCCCCCTCAATTCTCCCCCGGCCCCTCCCCCGTCTTGTTTTCGCGATACGATGGACATTTGGACTGACGTTTATCAGATACGAAACGAACGGCGCGGGACAAAAACAAAAGTGCGTGGCGCCGCAATTTCAGCTGCGTATAAACGGGGGCACGCAATAAGTGCGAGAGAGAGGGGGAGATGGGATCCCGTCCCAGCCGTCTGGAGAGTGGGAGCGGAGCGGAGCGCCTCCAGGCCGAAGGAATAAACGGCGCGTTTATTCTTTCATGGCGGATGGCGGTCCGCACTCGAGCGATCTGTTAAGGTTGCTGCTGTTGTTGTTTAGTGTTTTTGTTGCAACATTAAAAAAAAATCAGTCAGTAATTCTTCTACCACAATTCTCGTGGAACAATGTCCCATCACGAGCCAAAGATGAAAGTCGTGATAGCAAAAAATTACCTGTGGTATATACCGAGTATTTCGGTGCACGCGCCGGTACGGGCGGGTTTGCCTACTTCATCTGGCCGTGGGGCAGCATCACCGCTCCTATGGGCAGCCAAAGTGATCGACCAGCAGGAACGTCCGTTTTGTTCATCCATTCGATAAATCACATAAGCTCGGCGCCTGCGAAACTCTGGGTAGGCCAGCCCGCAGTACACGCATGCATGCAAGGCAGGCGTTGCCTACCCGCCAGGCGCTATGAAGAGCTTTCCTAGGCTGAACTTGGCAGTTTTGTTACGACGAATGATACACGAATTCTTTCTGGATGGTGCCAAAGGTTTCGATCCGGGCCCCTTTCGTCATGTTGCCTTTGAGTATAGGCAAATCCCCCGCCCGCCCCCTTGCCCCTCAGTCCGCCCCTGGCCTGGCCCAGCCGAGCAGCAAGGTCCCCCTGGACTCCCGTCAGCTGAGATAGCGGCAGTCAACAGAACACGCTGTCCACTCCTTCTGTGGGTATTATTATACCTCTACTCTGGGTTCTCAGCAAAGAGATGGAGAATGGAGAACCGACCCGCGGACGAACAGAGGGTGGACTGTCCAGCGTAGAATGGCTCGTCTCCTAGGGCATCACCCTGTAGCTCGCCTCTATGGCTCAGTCGGTAGCGCGCCGGCCCAGATCGTGGGATGGGAGGTCGTCTGTTCGAAACTTCGTCGAACTGGAATTTTTCTCAGGCCACCAAATTGGACTTCAAATGGCCTTCAAAGCCGTCATATTTCACCACGTGCCCCTCGTGGAGTTCCGTTGGCGTAGTGTTAACCATCCTGGTGACACTGCGTCGAATGTGGCATATGGTACGACTTTTCGACTCACGGCGAAAACGGGCCGTGGGAGTTCCCCTTTCCTTGGCTGGCGCCTTCTTGTGGTAGAATCAGGCTGTAAACGAGCTCTATGTTCTGACCACTGTGGAACGGCTGATCCCGTTCCGAACTCAGAAGTCGCTTCGCGGTGGGATGAGGAAAGTACTCCCAGCCGAAAATTCCGGTTACGGTTATGGCCAGAATTTACGATTACGGCCGTAATTTGCTACGGTTACGGTCAAAAT